TTATTGAATTGGACGGATAACGCATCGGCAACTCAAATTATTCTTCGAAAGTTCCCTACATGAACAGCATAATAAAGATACAATCAAAGATCATTAAGTTTTGTGAAAATCATAAGCATTGACAAAACATTCGTAACTATGATGAGCATGATACTCCTGCTAGGAATCCACTTAACACGATTGTGACTAGCAACCTCCACTACTTATGAATACAAGTTCATAACGATTAGGCGAAACTCCCTTGTATTCTAGCATCAAATTCATGCATGCAAACTAAGTATGCATCCTTAATCCACAAACAAGAATAAGTTATCAATCAAATAGTTAAGTAAATTGCATTCACGATTGAATCACAACTGGAAGTAATCAATTCATATTGCAAAATATGTTCATGGTTTCGAAATTCCTCCTAGCTAAAACGAGTTTAGCTCCTAATGTTCGCAAAACAAAGACAAATAAACTTAAACATTGAAAACAAAAGAATGAAAACACCTAAAAACGCTCCAGCAATCCAAACTTGAATAGCAAGCACTCCAAGGGTCCTCCTTCTTCTCTTTGTTGTGGCACAAGGGTTGGGTGAAGGTTTGAGTGGTGATTTGTGGTGGTGGATGGATGTAGGTGAGTTATGGTGAAGGATGGATTGATATTGTGGTGATCAGAACCCCCTAAGTGATGCAGCAAAGGGTTTTATTTATAGGGATGGGAAAGGCACGACCTAATTTAATTTGGAGAGGGATTTGTACACCAAATTCACAAGGCAAAAGGAAAATAAATGTCAGAATCCATCAAGAAAGGGAATGTGGGGTGCGGCACAACTTTAAGAAAAAGGAAGGAAGATATGTGGCAGATTTTGGAGAGAGAGGGAAAGGGAGTTGCGGCAAGGGAATGGAGAAAAAGGGAAAGTCTTCCAAGGCAAGGAAAAGGGTAAGAAAGGTGCGGCTCCCTCTTTGACTGGGAGTAGGTCTTCTAAAACATTTATTTAAGTGTCCTAAAATAATTAAAGATCCTCCTTGCAGCTGGAAATTAGGTGGTGAAGGATTAGGAAAGGTTAGGACCAAATAAGGTAACTTGGCTAACATTCCTTCTTTATTTTGCATCCTTTACTTCCTTTTCTTGAATTAATTTCTTCATAACTTCAGCATAATCCTAGCCTCTTTTGATCTTCAAATTCATCCATCCACCTTGCTCAATGCATGTGATATTCATTCCAACCCCAAAACTGCTCCAAAATGCACTTTCTTGCTATTTTAGCTCTTTGGACCTACAAACATACGAAAATAGCTTAAAATACTAAAATAACTAAGAACTAACAATATAAATGCACGAAAACAAGCTAACCAAGTCGCTTAAATATGCTCATATCAGGAAGAGCTTGAGAAAACTACCGAACACATGAAGTTAGAATTTAAGATGAAAGATCTTGGGAAAATTCGATATTACCTAGGCCTGGAGCTTGAGCATTGTTCGAATGGTATTATGGTTCATCAATTGAACTACACCTAGAATGTGTTGAGACGCTTTAATGAGGATACAGCGATACCTTTGAGTACTCTTATGGTCATTCGGACGCTAGATGCAAAACGAGACTCTTTTCGTTCTAAAGACTATGAGGAAAAGGTTTTAAAGCCTAAAGTTCCATACTTGAGTGCAATTGGCGCTTTATTGTACGTAACTCAATGCAATGGACCGGACATGTCTTTCTTTGTCAAATCTTTTGGCAAGCTATAGCAACTCGCTTACACCTAGAAACTAAACTGGTGTTAAAGACATCTATCGTTACCTCATATGTACTATAGATTTGGGCTTTTTCTATCTCTATGCATCCTTGAGTGGACTTGCCCCCTTGGGTCCTTGATGTGAAATTTAACTAGCACTCAAATTAAACCCTCTTATTGACAATTGTAGTAAAGATGTAAGTAGGGATCGTTCTAGGCCGGGGATTAGGAGGGATGCTAATCTACTGAAATTTAACTCAAAAATACTTAACTAGACTCAAAAACACAAAAGTAGACTCTTATAACTCAAAACTGACTCAAACTACTTAAAACAGCACAAAACAAGCAAACTCAATCCAAACTAACACTAAGGATGACTTTGGACGAAAATTGATTTTAAATTGACTTAAAACACTTGAAAACACAAATTAGACAGATTCTAACTAACTTGACACAACAAAGTAAAGGGGATTGGGCTTTTGACGTAATTAAAGTAAAACTAAACTGATTTAAGACACTAAATACTTTGAATGAAATTGGTGATTTAATGGGTGAATGGCTAGCTAGAGGGTTCTTCTCCACACATGACACACTTGCATACAAATCGATTTCCAGTTGCTTTTCCAATAAACCATGAACCTCAACGCCCCAAATTAACAGTGAACAACACTAATTAACCCTCAGATTTTCCTTAAGTCATTGAATTGGATGGACAATGCATCGGCAACCAAATTATTCTTCAATAGTTCCCTACACGAACAGCATAATAGAGATACAATCAAAGATCATTAAGCTTTGTGAAAATCATAAGCATTGACAAGGCATTCGTAACTATAACAGCATGATACTCCTGCCAGGAATTCACTTAACACGATTGTGACTAGCAACCTCCACTACTTATAAATATAAGTTCATAACTATTAGATGAAACTCCCTTATATTTTAGCATCAAATCCCTGCATGCAAGCTAAGTGTGCACCTTTAATCAACAAACAAGAATAAGTTCTAAATCAAACAGTTAAGTAAATTGCATTCACGATTCATGAAATCACAACTGGAAGTAATCAATTCATATTGCAAATATGTTCATGGCTTTGAATTTCCCCTAGCTAAAACGAGTTTAGCTTCTCATGTTTGCAATTAAACAAAGACAATTAAATTTAAACATTGAAACAACGGATAGAATACACCTAGAAACGCTCCAACAATCCAACGTCTTGAATGGCAAGCACGGCTCTAGGGGTCTCCTCTCCTATCTCCTTGCAAAGCTGCAGCACAATGGGATGAATGTGTATGAGGGATGTATGGGATGAATTTGTGATGGAAGGTGGATAATTTTTTAGTGTTGCCGCACTTTATATTTATAGGGAGAATGTAAGGCACGGCTAGGGTGAGTAGGAAGAGAATTAGGACTCCAAATCATCAAGGAATAAGGATACTTCTAATCAGATTCCAGGGAGGAAAAGAATTAATGTGTTTAGATGGATTAGGACTCCTAAATTCATATGGGAAGGATTTATAATAGGATAAGGACTCCTTTTGCAGCTGGAGATAAGGTAGGATAAGATTAGGATAGGATAAGATAAGATAAGGTTAGTTTGGATAAGATAAGGTTGGATAAGGTTTTGGATAATGTTCCTTCTTTTTAGCTAAATCCTTATCTTCTTTGCCTTGAATTCATTTTCTTCATCTTTTCAGCACATTCCTAGCCTCTTGAACTTCAAAAACGTCCATCCACCTTGCTCCATGCATGTGTTATCCATTCTTGGCCCAAAACTGCTCCAAAATGCTCCAAATTGCACTTTCTTGCCAACTTTGTCATTTGGACGACCTACAAACACACGAAAATAGCTTAAATCACTATAGTAAACAGAAACTAACTATGAAAGTGCAAGAAAACAAGCTAACTACGTCGCATAAATATGCTCCTATCAGTCCTCGTGTTAATTTTTTCCTTGTTGGTTATTATGTTGACACAGGTTGTTTATTTGAGGCATGTTCTTAAACAGGTTATGTTTTTAGCGTTGGAGACACCTTAATATCTTGGAGATCAACCAAGTAGACCTAAGTTGCTACTTCTTCGAACCATGTTGAATTCTTGTGGATTTGCTTTCATCGTTGACTCAATGATTTATGAAGACAACACCACCTATATCGACCAGATCAAGAAATGACACATCAAAGGAGACAACACCAAACATATTGCCTAAGTTTTTATTTTCACATCAATAACAAGAGCATTAGAAGATTGAAGTCAAGCAAATACGTTCCCAAGACAACCTTACCAACCTCTTTTAAGATTTACGAAGTCACTCTCGAAGTCTATTTTCCAGAAGCTTGTCCAAAGAATTGGTAATTGTAAATATCTGATTTGAATTGTTTGTAGTTCTCATTTGGAAGTTTTGTCAAATTCATGGGAAGCATCAAGAAGTATACTCACTTGATCTTGATGTACTCTTTTTTCATATGGTTAGGAGCATATTCCCTTTGAGATTTGTTACCTAACGAAGTTTTAACGAGGCACCCATCCTGGGCTGGTCATACCCTTGTGTGCGTTCTACTTGCTCCTTAAGAAGACATTTAGTTTTGATTTAATGCAAGTTCTCTCTTTTCTCCTTAGACTGAGTTTTTATCGTGCCTTAGGTTTTACTATTGCAAGGTTTTGTGAGTTTTACTACCTTTGCATTCTTCCGTTTGTTTTGAGACTCACATTCGCTCATTGTGTCAACAACCTCATTAACTCTTCTTGCTTCATCACTGAAGACCCGATGCTACATTTGTTTGAGTATTTACACTTAAGGGGGAGTGTTGCAGTCCTAAATTAGGAATGTGATTGTGTAAATCCTAGTAGATTACGGTTGGATTCTATAATATTTTCTATATAGTTTCCTAATTGTAATTGTATTCCTTGGGGAGTATGGGAAACACTATAATAAAGGCACAATAGGGTGAGAAATCATCATCACAAGTTCACCAAATTCTCTCTTTTCTCTATGCTTGCCTTCGGCCGCCAACAACAGCAAAATAATTTTGTTTTCTTTTCAGTTTTACTGTGCGTTAAACCTGTTTCAATGAGCACCACCTTTTTTTTTCCCTCCAATTTGCCGTCGTGGTCTCATGATGCTCCTAGTCAACAGTAACTCAATGTCTTATAGAGACTTAGGCTACTCCTCATATTGTGTAGTTTTGAAGTGTAAGCAAACCCAATTTTCATCATGGTGTCAGTGCCAACCACACACGGCTAGGTTGACAACTCACTTGTAAAGCCGAAAGTCACGTCACACGTGCTCAACGCTGCCCAATTTACTTAGAAACAGTACTACATAATTTGGGCACATAGAAGGAAATATTGGGTCATTCTCCAGAATTTAACGTAATATATTTGTTTTAATAAAATATACACATTGGACGTCCTCGCATTTCTCCAAATCCACTTTCACTATAAAAAAAGATGCTCACAACCATGGATTGGCAATTATTGGCCTAAAAGTTTTATGCCGAACACATCGAGTCATCTTCGACATCCTCTTGTTTCAGGTTTTCAAGAGCGTCGACACATTTTTTCAACAAGGACTTTGCTTCACCATTTTTCTCCACCTCATACAGATGAACAAGCTCGCCCATAAATTTTTCGTCCCTACAATGTATCGTTTGGAGCTTCTCATACAGCTTGACGATCACAAGAAGGGTCTCTGAAGCAGCGACGTGAACCTGAATTTGTGCACACAAACTCATGATAAATAAAAATGTACCTCAAGGACAAAAACTTCTAACCCAAAAAAGGTTCTCTTACATTATTGTTAAACATGTGTTCCAATTAGATAAAACTCAAGGGAATTACTAGTTGCTAAAGAGTCAACAGAAGAAAATAGTTGAAAGTGGGATTAGTCAGATATAGAGACGGTACAGAAGAACAAGAACAATTACGAGAAGAGAAATAGAAGTTTAAGACTTAAATTTGGAGACCAAAACAGCTGTTGATTCCGATAATAGTTTATATATGATATGAGCTTGTATGACAAGGGTCTACATGAAATTAAAGAAACAAAACAAGGAACTAAAATGTAAGTACTGTCTCGGTCAAAAGGCATAACCCTTTTTCATTGAATTTGGACATGGCACGTATGAAGTAGGCTCATAATCACCAAATATTACTGTTTGAATCATAAAATGCGAAAGGTAGAAGTTATAAAGAGAAGATAGTTGATTAGTTGGTTAGTTAAAGTTATTGTTGGTAGCTTGTTTACATCTCATCTTTAATCCGGAAATTTTTGCATACAGGATCATCAGGAAACATTTACTTTAGTTTTCCTAATACTTTACTTCAAAGCCATGCACAATATACATCATACTATTCTTCAAAGACACGCACAAGAGTAAGATAAGGTCACTCAATGAACAATCACTAGAACAAAAAAGTGTAATTCGACCAAACAAATTGTGATGTGCAAATGATACCAAACGAGGAAAAAGGGAATATACCTGGGCAACGTTAATTGTTCGTATGCATTCAACTATTTGAGGTGGCATTGAGAGAAACAACTGAAAACAGGCAGAAAAATAAAAGGGTTTAACAAAGTTCCATGGAAAAGTATAAAACAACAACAACAAAGCCTTTTCCCACTAAGTGGGGTCAGCTATATGAATCCTAGAACGCCATTGCGCTCGGTTCTGTGTCGTTCTATAGAAAAGTATAATGATAAATAAACTCTGATTACCTCCTGAACTGAAGATATTATGCTGGCATGTATAGAAGGTTCTTGAGAGTCATCCAGAGCCTTCTGAAGCATTGAACAAAGTTCCTTCGTTGATGAAAGTGCAGATACTTTGACTGCCAAGAAAGGTTCAATCAACAAGGGACTAAATCTTACAAGAATGATGCAAAAGAAGGGGTTAAAAGGGGCCATTGGAGGGTACCTGTCCATGGAAGTCCAGATGACAGCGTGGTAATCAACACATGCAAGAAGTTCTTCTGTTGTCCAAGAATATCATTTATATGTGCCACATGGATGCAGGCTGTCATGCAGTCCAAAATTTTGTTGTGTGGAACAGAAACCTTTTCAACTTGATCTTCTTCTGGGTACGAAGCGTTGCATCTCAGATTATTTTAGTATATTCTACTTCGTTAATAAGAGGGATTCAAATGGTTCTACAAGGATAAACAGAAAAGGCAAGCAAACAACTGTACACTAGCAGCCCTAGTAATTTATAATTCTAAAAATGCAATATATAAAATGGCACTAACAATCTGAAATTAAAGATATGATCATACTGGTAGAGTGCAGCACAACTTCATGCCTTAACATCCATAGTAGAAATAATAGTCCAACACCCCCACAAAGGTTTTAGTTGATTAGAAGTGTGAAAATTTTGTTCAGGACCGAAACTTTAGTTATTGAGTCAATTGACTTAGCATAATTATATAATGATGAAGATGGCTTTAGTATAGGCCAACCATTATTAGTAGAATTCAAAAGATGATAGGAAACCGATCCCATTAACAAGAACCGCCTATATGCATGTTAGGCCCACAAGATCGCTTGCTTCTGGTAGAGTTCAACATAAGCGAACAACTATGTCCCGAAACACAACCTCACACATTAACGACCCGTCTTTTCGAATATGAGTCATGCAAGGGAGGGAGAATCAAGCAGACCACATCAAATAAACTGAAACAGAGTCTTCGAAAAAGAAAACAACCAGCTCGGAAGAGCTTGAATAAGCCTAAAACTGGCTTAAAGGTAGCCGCTTTCCAATCAAACCAAATTAAGGGAGAAGTGAACAAGACTCCACTGAACTAAGGGGATACTGATGCCCATAGGCTAAGAACATCCAAATTCTGTCCTGCAAGACCAACTCCGACATAATTTTCAAAAATCATTCTGTTCCTCTCTATCGAAATCATCCAAAGCACATAATGAATCATGCAACCACACATAACCAAGCTTTCTTACCCTTCCGAACTAAAGTATTGGTTTTGCTAAGAAAAAAAAAGTCCCTTGGGATTACCAGAACCAACAACGTAGAAACCGATAAACAAAATATGTAATCCAGAGAATTCTCAAGTAAAATATAATCACCTTGGGCTCTGGTCAATATTTCATAGGAAACAAATTTGTAAAACAGCAACAAGAGTTTACTGATATGTTGATAAAGTGAGTTTCATTGTTATCCTCACACTTCTAAGCATCCTATGTTTATCAATAGTACACCAGTGGCAGTGAACCGATACCCAATAAATTATGTGACTTACTCTCAAAATTAGAACTTAAATTCTTAGATGCAAAAAGAATTACTGTTAACTACCAACCTGCTTTGGCAGCATCACCAGCCAAAGATTCTTTCCCAGACTGATCGAGACTGGCAGAACTGAAAATCTCAAGTAATAATGGAAAAACCACATTAAAGACCTCTTGGTTACCAAAGGCTCTAACAACCTGAAAACAGAGCAGGAAACTTTGTTACAAGACTAGCGTCAATATAAGTCAAATTTCAGTTGAGCATTATGATGAAGACTAAACAGAAGTACAAATAAAAGTAGATTAATTCAAGAACCCAATAAAACACTAAAAGGAGTAGCATGAATTGGAGCATAGATTGCAAGGCAATGATAAGCACTTCTCAGCAGGAAGTACAGAGTAGATTGACATTTGAGCTCTTGTCATCTAGACTCCAATCAGGTAGCTTCTAAACTCTGAACTCAAAGGATGATCATATTTGATTTGTTTGATCAATAGAACACATTCACAAGAATTTAATGCACCAGAAACTCAGGCATCATTTTCTTCTCAAATTAACCAAGAGAAAACATTGTTTATAATGTTTTGACAATGAAGCGTACAAGGATAAAAACATTTTTCCTTCCCCTTCAAAACTTCAAGTACTCCCACACCTTGTTACAAAAAACAAAAAGTTTGGATCTGTTGCATGCAACACCAGAAACAGGCCAACCACCTTATTAATCACAATGCCCATGTAATAAACATCCACCAACCAATAGGTGATACAACCAGAACCGCTCTATGTTTTAAGAATACAAAGGAAGTAAAAGTGAATATTTTATTTCCCTAAGATTGAAATACTTCAGGAAAAAAAAAACAAAATAAAACAGAAGTAACTGATGAAAGTTTATCTGTCATACAATCATGATGGAACCTTACCTTTTCAAGACAGGTGAGAGCTGCTTCACGGTATTTCTTTGCTTTTTTGGTGCATGCAGAAGATACTATGCTCAAAATTTCATTCAGGGTGGAGGGATCATCACTTGAAATTGCTTTGTGGCAAGACACAGAAAGAGCAGCTATTGCATCTAATAGAGCATCCTTTCCCTGTCACATAGAAATAACTATACATTAAAAAAACTACTTAGATGGACTAACACTCATCACCAAAGACCATGAATACAAATCCCCACCTCCCATAACCGACCAGGAATCTCTTTCATAAGAGATTGGAGCAAGACAGGATAGTAAGAAGACAACGATTCACCCAAAACATCACTGAGCTTGGAGATTGCCTGTGCTGACTGCAAGTTGAGAGATGACACATTAAAAATATCTCAGGTACAAAACCTACAACAACTAAAGTGCAATGTGAAACTTACTGATGGGGAGAAGAAAAGAGATGGTGCATACCTTCTTTTTACTTGCCCATGATGATGATCCAATGCCCTCACAAATCAAAGAAACAATTTCTACTAAGTACAACTGAAGGGCTACCCTTTCACCACTTGTATGCTCTTCCCACAACTCTTCAAACAGGCTAGAAATAACTTTGTCATCCTCAAATCTGCATATGAACCATCAGATTCCAAGGTCGGCTATCGCAGCTCATTTACATAATTATCTTTTTTGTTGTTTAATGATGATTGTCATGAGGCTTTCACTAGTGAGTTATTCTGAATTAAAAAATTACCTGACCTCATCTAAAGTAAAGTGAGTAAAAGATGACAAAGTTGGCATCTTAAGCCCCACCGCTTGGTTTGAACTTCCCAGAATAATGGTTTTAAGGAAGACGAGTAATGTAGAGAATATACAAAGTGGAGAGTTTCCTTAATTTTAATTCATCATATCAAATACTTGTTATGGTTCGAATTCAATTTTCACTCATAGTTTAAATAGACAAAACTCAATACATCAACACTTATATTGTAATTGAACAGGTTTTGTTATCTTGAACTTTTAATGAAATAGCAGCTTAGCATTCATCTCTGCATGGTAAACTCAGCACTTAATATACGAACTGCACAGTTTTATAAAACTACAAATAATTCCATATATTCATAAAAAGGAAACAAAGAAAAGGAGCTGAGGGCATGATTCAGACCTTGAGATAAAAATAGCTGGAATAATTGCTGCAAGATATCCACTCAAGGCATCTGAGGCCACAGATGAATAGCTTTTCAATAAAATTGCACATGAAACTTGATAATTTTTATCACCGGTATGCAAAGCTACAGTATCGTCAATCAATTTTTCTGCCTGAGTAGGTGCTGCATGCTTTAAAACTGCTGCACAAGCACCAGCAAAGGCACGTTTTGATGCAGCACTTTTTTCATCCTTAACAACTGGAAACAACAGCCTCAGTAGCCTGCTCGTATATGGTTTGATTTCAACACCAACTTTTTGAACTAGTAATGTAATAAAGCTGGCAACCCCAACCCTGTGACAGGATATATAAAGAGGCCACACAGTAGCATCAGTAACAGAGAGGTAATATAGATTTGTAATACTACTAAAGCATCAACATTCAATCTGCTCAAATTTCTTACGTCCATCTCATGGACACCGAGCAATTCTTATTTCATCATTCTTATGATCAAAGATAATCTAGATTTGCAATACTACTTTTTGTTTTGAATCACACGTTAAAAATTTCACATATTCTTCAGAGTAGAGCAAGGTGATTAAAAAAAAAGCAAAAGGGGGAGCTAGATATACAATTCATTTTATTTTATTTTTCAGTGTTACACCTCAAGTAACTCTTGGCACACAACTTATGGGCCCATTTGATAACCATATCGTTTTTTTCGTTTTGGCTTTTAGTTGTGTTTAGTGTTAGTAATAAAGGGGAAATATGTAAGGGAAAGGATGAATAAAGAAGCTTGGATGTAGGATGTGGCAGGGATGTAAAAGAAATGTACAAGGAGAAAACACGCAAATGAAAACTAAAAACCAAAAACTAGTTAAGTTGTTTTCACTTTCAAGATAATTGTTTTTGTTCCTTCTTCCTTATTTTTTCCTCTCTCCCATCACTCCCTTCCCTTAATACACCTTCCTCATATCTAAAGCACAAAAAGTAAAAAGTATAAACAAAAAAAGCCGAAATGGTTATCAACAGGCCCTAAGTTTTCTTAGAGTTAACCATAACATTTGATATGATAATTGAAGCTAAAGATCCTACGTTAAATCCTTGTAATTGCAATTTGTAACCTCCCATTGTAACTGAATTCCACATGGCGGACTCCACAACATTAGAGGAAGGCCCAAACATGAAAGGGAATGTCAAATAAAGACTAATTGTTGGCTCACATCCTAACATTCCCAATAATAACCCCTTAATTTCAGGTGCTACAATGGCACAACTACAAACCTTGTATTGAGGCCCACTCCGGACCGAACCAACTGAGCAAGACGAGGAACCAATTGATCTAATGATTCCACATCCACAACTTTAATGCAGAGATCAAGAGTTTCCCACATAGGAGAACCTTTTGCAATTGAAATTCTTAAGTTCTCAAGCTTCTCTGTCTGTATTCCAGCATTTGCTGCATGCAACTGGAAGAGGAAAGTAAAATTAACAAAAGAATTGCAATAAAGTGTGTGCCACATAAACAAGAGCTGCATTAAAATCTTGCCAAACCTCCACATAGTTAAGCCCTTGGTCCTCAAGGCTAGATAAACTTTCCAGCATGCAACAAACCAAATCAGATAAATGTGGGCGAATTGCAATCCCTGCACCCTATATATAATCAGCAGAAAAAGTAGTTACTAAACACACGTGAGAACACATCAATTTCAGTAAAGGTTATAATTAGATTTAGGAAAGATGAACTAAGGTTCCATTTTTTATGGAGAGTAGAACTAACAACTGAAAGTTTCATTTCCATTTTAATAGAAACCTGATAACTTCTCGTCTCTCTGATTTGTGAGGGTTGTGGGCAATAGGGATCGTCCCTTGAGGGTGAGGATGCTCTACTGGGTTTCTGTTTTGAGGTTTTCTTTTTTTGTTCTATTTTATGGGCAAATTAGTTTTGTACGGTCCAAGGTAGTTTCTACACCAAAACATCTGTATAGTACTCCTATCCTATTCACTCCAATCCTAGCCTATCCTATCTGATATACCAAGTTCCACCCGATCCTGGCAACCAAACGAGGCCTGAAGGTCTGCATCATTAAATGCCCCATCACCAGTTGTGTATTCTGTGGATAAGGCTGTATAGTGAGACCAGATTGAGTTGGGCAACCCCAGATTGAATTTGTGGGACGGACTATATCTATCAACATCCTTATAGGTTTCAGTTTCATCAGATTTTCAGGATTGGTCCTTGCATGCAATTTTTTCTGATTACAGAACTGCTGTGTAAATTTTTGAAATGAAACAAATTGATAAGAAACAAACAAGACAGAGAACACAATGTCAACCAGAAACACAAAAATTAAACAAATTGATAAGAAACAAACAAGACATAGAACACAAGGTCAACCAGAAACCAATAGCAAGGAAATTAACAAAAATCTATAACGACCACAAAAAGAAATTAAAACAGTAACTTATTATATTTTATAGAGCTGCCTTGCAATTTAGCAAAATACATGACAATGAGTTACCCTGAACTCTGACAAAAAAGAAACACAAAGTGAAGACCAAAACCTGACCCTTTCCCACAACTCTTCTACCCCCACCCCCTTATTATTGCCAAAAATTCTTATATTCTTATCCATCCAAATCACCCACAAAAGAGCTATCCTGCAATATCCCCACAACACTTTAGCTTTACTTCCCTTGTTTGTAGTGTCCTGCTAGTTAGATGTAGTTTGGGGAATGTCTTGTCCACTATGTTGCATACAGTGTTTTAAAAAGAGAGCCCTGAGGAGCGACTAGGCGGCTTTGGAGGGCGGGGTGGTGATAAAAACGCCTCTGTCCAGCGGGAGTGGGCTTAAACTCACCAAGGTGGCTGAGGTGCACCTAAGGCGTTTGACTGGGCCTTTTTTTTTGAAAAAAAATAAAAAATATCTGCCCAAGTTCAAGTTCAACTGGACAATATGACATACCCTCCAAGTTCAAGTTCAACTACACTATTGACATACCCTCCAAGTTCAACTAGACTATATGACATTCCCTCCAAGTTCAAGTTCAACTAGACTATATGACATTCCCTCCAAGTTCAAGTTCAACTAGACCATATGACAGACTATATGACGTACCCTCCAACTAGACTATAACAACAACAACAACAAAGCCTTTTCCCACTAAGTGGGGTCGGCTATATGAATCCTAGAACGCCATTGCGCTCGGTTTTGTGTCATGTCCTCCGTTAGATCCAAGTACTCTAAGTCTTTTCTTAGAGTCTCTTCCAAAGTTTTCCTAGGTCTTCCTCTACCCCTTTGGCCCTGAACCTCTGTCCCGTAGTCACATCTTCGAACCGGAGCGTCAGTCGGCCTTCTTTGCACATGTCCAAATCATCGGAGCCGATTTTCTCTCATCTTTCCTACAATTTCGGCTACTCCTACTTTACCTCGGATATCCTCATTCCCAATCTTATCCTTTCTCGTGTGCCCACACATCCCACGAAGCATCCTCATCTCCGCTACACCCATTTTGTGTACGTGTTGATGCTTCACCGCCCAACATTCTGTGCCATACAACATCGCTGGCCTTATTGCCGTCCTATAAAATTTTCCCTTGAGCTTCAGTGGCCTACGACGGTCACACAACACGCCGGATGCACTCTTACACTTCATCCATCCAGCTCGTATTCTATGGTTGAGATCTCCATCTAATTCTCCGTTCTCTTGCAAGATAGATCCTAGGTAGCGAAAACGGTCGCTTTTTTGTGATCTTCGCTAGATTGCTCCGGTCATTAGTGTGGATAAGTATATAAATGGATAGAGATAGGAAAGCAAACACAAGATGTACGTGGTTCACCCAGATTGGCTACGTCCACAGAATAGAAGAGTTCTCATTAATTGTGAAGGGTTTACACAAGTACATAGGTTCAAGCTCTCCTTTAGTGAGTACAAGTGAATGATTTTGTACAAATGACATTAGGAAATATTGTGGGAGAATGATCTCGTAATCACGAAACTTCTAAGTATCGGAGTGTGGTGTCGTCTTGACTTGCCTTATCTGTCTCATAGGTAGATGTGGCATCTTCTCTGAAAGTACTCTTCCTCCATCCAGGGGTGGTATCTTTAACTGGTGGAGATGCACAAGGTAATGTATCAATTTCACTTGAAGCTTACTTGTAGTCTCAGGCTTGGTCAAGCGCGATACAAACCATGTAGTAGGAGTCCCCCAAGTCGCCGAGCTAGGGGGTCTGCTGAAAGAGGTGACAGACAAGGTAAGCAATCAGAGCTCCGACTGATTGTTCACCTTCTCCCCATCTTGCAGCAGCATGAAGGATAAAGAGAAAGAAAATGAGAAGAGATGATATGAGATACTTTTGCTTTTGAAGAAGTAACTTTCCACAGGCTTATTCTTGAACTGAGCTGGAGGGTTTTCTGGTTTCCTCCAGAGTATAAGGCCGACTGAAGAATTTGAGGGTCAAAACAAGTCCATCAAATCTAGAGTACGTTCCACCCTACTGATATGGGATACTTTTGCTTTTGACAGAGTAATGGGTGTATCGGCACGTGTGCTGTTACGCTTGTCTCACATGCTTCCTTGTATCCTTCGCACTTGCCCTATCTGTTCCTCAAGCAGATGCAGAATCTTCCCTGGAAACATAAGATGTTGAAGATGAGTACTCGAGAGCAATGCCAGGTAAGTAATCAGGTAAGGGGTTCCAGGCAGTCAGTTCCTGGCTGGAAGCTTGATTCCAAGTGCTGACTGATTGCTCTCTTTCTCCTTGTCTTGCAGGTAAAAACAAGGCCAAAGGAAAAGACAGGGAAAAAGCATGATATGAGATACTCTTGCTTTTAACCCTGATGATATGAGATATTCTTGCTCTAGTATAGCTTGTTTGCAGAGGTATTATCGGGGGGAAAGAAAGCTGAATATTTCGAAAGGCTTCGTTGGGAGTGCCCTCTCAGATATGATGAAGGGTTGAGCATTTTTGCAGGTCTGCCTGTCCGTTGGGGATGGAGGTCGACATATATAGGAGTCTCCCTAACAACAAGTAGTAATGCTATTCCTTTACCCTGCTTGGTCATAGCACGGTAGTAGGAGCTGCCAGTTGCAATGGTACTGTTCCTTTACCCTCTCTTCGCTTTTGAGAAAGTAGTCATGTTGGGAGTCTGGCTCTCGAGATTCGGAGGACGGTGCCTCTTCGATTTTGGAGCAAGCAATCTTGTTGGGAGTGTTTTCTCGAAAGTGAGTAAAGGTTGGGCATGTTTGCTAGTCTACCTTGCCACGAAGCACAAAGGTTGACACACAAGGACTTTCCAATTATCCAGCAGTGGTACTGTTCCTTTACCCTTGTGGGTAATAATATGGTAGCTAGACCTTCAACATTTATGTGTCTAAACTTTGTTAGTGCTGTTTTCTTTGCTATTCTTTTACCTTTCTTGGTCAGAGCGATGTAGTGGGAGCTGCAAGCTTCACGTGCTCAACTTTGGCAGAGAACTTTGGCAAAGTTATCTGTGGTACCCATGAGCTATTGTTGCGTGTGGGAAGTGGGTGATTGAACAGTAAGATTCATGTGCTTTCTACTTCACCAGAAGTCTTCGACAGAATGCCCATAATTTCTGCAAAGCTGAGTGTGCGTGTGACAGGTGCTGACAAGGCTAGAAAAGTAGGTGCCTCTTCGATTTCTGAGATCGGCCCTCGTGGTCTCTGAGCAGCCCAGCTTTTGAGAAAGCGAGCGCCTCTTTGATTGATTCGGAGAACGATGCCTCATCGATTTTTGAGAAAGCAATCATGCTGGGGGTCTGGCTCTCGAAGATTCGGGGAGCAGTGTCTCTTCGATTTTTGAGAAAGTAATCACGTTGGGAGTCTGGCTCTCGAGATTCGAAGGGCGGTGCCTCTTCGATTTTGGAGCAAGCAATCTTGTTGGGAGTGTTTTCTCGAATGTGAGTAAAGGTTGGGCATGTTTGCTAGTCTACCTTGCCACGAAGCACAAAGGTTGACACACAGAGACTTTCCAATTATCCAGCAATGGTACTGTTCCTTTACCCTCTCTTCGATTTTTAAGAAAGTAGTCATGTTGGGAGTCTGGCTCTCGAGATTCGGAGGACGGTGCCTCTTCGATTTTGGAGCAAGCAATCTTATTGGGAGTGTTTTCTCGAAAGTGAGTAAAGGTTGGGCATGTTTGCTAGTCTACCTTGCCACGAAGCACAGAGGTTGACACACAGGGACTTTCCAATTATCCAGCAGTGGTACTGTTCCTTTACCCTTGTGGGTAATAATATGGTAGCTAGACCTTCAAAATTTATGGGTCTAAACTTTGTTAGTGCTGTTTCTTTGCTATTCTTTTACCCTTCTTGGTCAGAGCGATGTAGTGGGAGCTGCAAGCTTCACGTGCTCAACTTTGGCAGAGAACTTTGGCAAAGTTATCTGTGGTACCCATGAGCTATTGTTGCGTGTGGGAAGTGGGTGATTGAACAGTAAGATTCATGTGTTTTCTACTTCCCCAGAAGTCTTCGACAGAATGCCCATAATTTCTGCAAAGCTGAGTGTGCGTGTGACGGGTGCTGACAAGGCTGGAAAAGTAGGTGCCTCTTCGATTTCTGAGATCGGCCCTCGTGGTCTCTAGGGAGCCCAGCTTTTGAGAAAGCGAGCGCCTCTTCGATTTCTGAGATCGGCCTTCGTGGTCTTTGAGCAGCCCAACTTTTGAGAAAGCAAATGCCTCTTCGATTTCTGAGATCAACCCTCGTGATCTCTAAGCAGCCCAGCTTTTGAGAAAGCAAACGCCTCTTCGATTTCTGAGCAGGCGCCTCTTCGATTTCTGAAGCTCCGTCGAGTGCAGATTTTTATAGAGGCTGACATTAAGTTCCAAAGCACACTTGAATCTCCACCAGTAGAAGCTTCATTCTTGCACTTCTAAGATCTTGATTTGTCCGACCTCTTCTCTCTTCAACACCTTTGAAAATGTCTGGCCCCTCCGACCGTCGTTTTGACTTGAACCTTGTTGAAGAGGCAGCCCCGCCTTCTCCAGACAACATATGGCGCCCATCCTTCGTCTCCCCTACTGGTCCTCTTACCGTTGGGGATTCCGTGATGAAGAATGATATGACCGCTGCGGTGGTGGCCAGGAACCTTCTCACTCCCAAAGATAACAGACTACTTTCCAAACGGTCTGATGAGTTAGCTGTAAAGGATTCGCTGGCTCTCAGTGTTCAGTGTGCAGGTTCTGTGTCTAATATGGCCCAACGCCTATTTGCTCGAACCCGCCAAGTTGAATCCTTGGCGGCTGAAGTGATGAGTCTCAAACAGGAGATTAGAGGGCTCAAGCATGAGAATAAACAGTTGCACCGGCTCGCACATGACTATGCTACAAACATGAAGAGGAAGCTTGACCAGATGAAGGAAACTGATGGTCAGGTTTTACTTGATCATCAGAGATTTGTGGGTTTGTTCCAAAGGCATTTATTGCCTTCGTCTTCTGGGGCTGTACCGCGTAATGAAGCTCCGAATGATCAACCTCTGATGCCTCCTCCTTCTAGGGTTTTGTCCAGTACTGAGGCTCCAAATGATCCCCCTCCGGTGCCTTCTCTTTCTGGGGCTCTACCGACTGCTGAGACTTCTCCTAAGCAACCTTGGTGAAGGCTCCGTCTTGTGTGTTTATTTTGACTCATGTATATGTACATATTTGTAGCTGATCGGGGATATCAATAAATAAGCTTTCCTTCATTTCAACGTATTGTGTTAAATACACCAAAGCCTTCTTCGCTAAGTTCTTTGAATTTTCTTTTGTTGAAGCTTGTATGTTGAAGCTTTCTGAGTGGAGCATGTAGGTTGGGGTAGTGTTCCCTTAATTTCCCGAGTGAGGAAAACTTCTCGGTTGGAGACTTGGAAAATCCAAGTCACTGAGTGGGGATCGGCTATATGAATCTTAGAACGCCATTGTGCTCGATCCTGTGTCATGTCCTTCGTTAGATCCAAGTACTCTAAGTCTTTTCTTAGAGTCTCTTCCAAAGTTTTCCTAGGTCTTCCTCTACCCCTTCGGCCCTGAACCTCTGTCCCATAGTCGCATCTTTCTAATCGGAGCGTCAGTAGGCCTTCTTTGCACATGTCCAAACCACCGTAACCGATTTTCTCTCATCTTTCCTTCAATTTCGGCTACTCCTACTTTACCCCGGATATCCTCATTCCTAATCTTATCCTTTCTCGTGTGCCCACACATCCAACGAAGCATCCTCATCTCCGCTACACCCATTTTGTGTACGTGTTGATGTTTCACCGCCCAACATTCTGTGCCATACAGCATCGCCGGCCTTATTGCCGTCCTATAAAATTTTCCCTTGAGCTTCAATGGCATACGGCGGTCACACAACACGCCGGATGCACTCTTCCACTTCATCCATCCAGCTTGTATTCTATGGTTGAGATCTCCATCTAATTCTCCGTTCTTTTGCAAGATAGATCCTAGGTAACGAAAACGGTCGCTTTTTGGTATTTCTTGATCTCCGATCCTCACCCCTAACTCGTTTTGGCCTCCATTTGCACTGAACTTGCACTCCATATATTCTGTCTTTGATCGGCTTAGGCGAAGACCTTTAGATTCCAACACTTCTCTCCAAAGGTTAAGCTTTGCATTTACCCCTTCCTGAGTTTCATCTATCAACACTATATCGTCTGCGAAAAGCATACACCAAGGAATATCATCTTGAATATGTCCTGTTAACTCATCCATTACCAACGCAAAAAGGTAAGGACTTAAGGATGAGCCTTGATGTAATCCTACAGTTATGGGAAAGCTTTCGGTTTGTCCTTCATGAGTTCTTACGGCAGTCTTTGCTCCTTCATACATATCCTTTATAGCTTGGATATATGCTACTCGTACTCCTTTCTTCTCTAAAATCCTCCAAAGAATGTCTCTTGGGACCCTATCATACGCTTTTTCCAAATCTATAAAGACCATGTGTAAATCCTTTTTCCCATCTCTATATCTTTCCATCAATCTTCGTAAGAGATAGATTGCCTCCATGGTTGAGCGCCCTGGCATGAACCCGAATTGGTTGTCCGAAACCCGTGTCTCTTGCCTCAATCTATGCTCAATGACTCTCTCCCTCGTGACGTTATGGCCTCACGCCTCAAGGCTTTCGCCTAGGAGGGACTATCCATGAAACACATTGGCTTCACCTTCCCCTTTTAAAACATTGGTTGTATATTAGAAGGACACTCTACATTTCCAGTTTGGAATCAACAAAGGGCGGGATATTAAATTATTACATTCCATAGCAAGTTCATCTTTCTGGTAATATCAATTGAATATATAACCAGATGAACCATAACACAAGGATAAGAGGTACATAGTTATTCTTGACCTATAAAATCATAAGAACAATGCTAACCTTTGCAAGCTTCATAACAACTCCGATAGATGCTTTGCGAATACTATCAACTTTACTTAGTATTCCATCTGTAAGCAGATAAGGCAGAACAATATCCATTGTATGGCGTGCCTCTGATACATCAGTTAGGGAGACATCAGAAAGCCTCACTGTCAATGAAGTTAAAGCACGGCATAACTTGTCACCAGAGTTTCGAACAGTCTCTTTTATGTCATCCATGGCACGGAACGCTGCTGACCATAATTTTCTTAAATGCTTCCCCACCTTAGTACCAGAATATGGAGAAAAACGTGCAGACAAAAAGCAAAAATATTACACTCTGAAAAAGCAAAATAATAATAGCATGGGAATGCTGGATTATGTTGAAACTCTAAGCAAGCTTATGGATCTAAACATAAACAATGACACAGCAGAGATGGAGAGAAATATAAAGGTGTACCAAATCTTAAAGCAATCTACAGAATAGCTACGACCTGGTGGTGGTCAATTGAATGGGAAAAATGAAAATATGCCTAAAGTAAATATATATATATATATGTACATATATAATAGGACAGAAACTAGTCATAGATACTCAAAAGTAAAAAACAAGATAATTTGTATCTGCATTCATGCAGTGTTAGTATAATGCCAAACCGGCAGGTATTTCTCATTCCATCTATTTATCTAGTGAGGAATGACCCCCTTGCAATAAGTGCAGGTGGACATTGAGGGAATCACCATACCAGGGGGTAGGAGGTTTTTGGTTTTCGGATAATAGTAATACACATCAAAAGGGAAAAACAGAAAGGAGCCTGGTGGTCAAGAAGACCACACCAAAACAACCAGAACCAATTGCATAATGGAAAAATAAAGGAGGCACTGGGAAATTGGAAGAAAAGTCGCAATTGCAAAACTTTATGCAGGAGACAAACTCAGATTAATCTTATTACCTACAAAAGTCAAATACAGCTAGTTGGGAAATATGATGGATCTTACAACTAAGACTGGAGAGCTTCCATTCCAATTAAATACATGAGATCCATTAAAAGATTATCACCTGATCAAACTTTCGACCCTGAATGATATCCGCAAGAGCAAGACATGACGACTCACGGGAGCGCCAAAGCCGGGATCCACATTGTATTAACAAATCATCAACAATGAGGTCCATGTTCTCATCAATGGTTTTCTTTGAATCTGCTACTAGTGATTTCCATATGTGTGACATAGCATCCTAACACATCAAAGAAAAGTATAATGACAAAGTCAATACTTAAATATGTATTTTACAAATTATGATATTATCACTTGTAAAAGAAAAAGGGGAAAGAAAAAAAAAAGGAAAAACTGCTTTGAGGAAAGATGGGAAATACTAACATGAAAAAACATTTGGCACATAAGAAATAGCAGAGATGACATAAAAGTTACATAGATGGAAATGTTAAAGAATCTGTTGCTTTCATACCTAAGCTAGAGAAGTACATGAATGCATACCTGCACATTTTTGTCAGGATCGTATTGGTACCGAACTAGTCTTGGAATCAATGAACGCAAGTGTGGCTTTAGAGCATCTCCTGCTTGCTTAGCTATCTTTGAAAATCCAAAGGCAGCACCCCTCTTGGAATTTAGAGAGGCTTGATAATTAGCCAGATCCATAAACTTATAAATTAGATCTGGTTGCCCCATCTCATTTGCAACATTGCAAAGCTCCTTGTATGTGCTCAGTTTCCCTCCACTCAGGCCTTCACCAATAACTCCCTCTTGAAACACTTCAGAGTCTTCATCGAGCTAACAACAAAAATCTATGAACCTAAGAATTTGCAGAAATGCGGAGAGGGAGAGAGAGAGAGGGAAAGGGAGAGAGAGAGGGAGAGAGAGAGAGAGAGAGAGACTCACCTTGATAGCTCTTTTCCTCTTCCCTGAACCAGTCAGAGAGTTAACAAGTGCATGGACCAAATTCTCCTTCATTGCTGCATCACCAAGTTCATACACAATGCTCATCCCTTGTGAGGCCAGCTCCTGTGTAAGTTCATTCTGTTCGCCCAGAAGATGTGAAAAAGCCTCCTGCATGCAAATGAAAATGTAAAATCTATTCCCTATAAATTTTCAACTGATACCCAGAGCTTCCAAGGTTCCAGAATTCTGGTATGAGTATACTGCATGGAGACTCATTAATTTACTGTGCATCCATTTTCAAAATGTTGTGAATATTGTGTTTAAGAATGGGAAAACAAGACAAACCTCAGGAAATCGAAAACAACTAATCAAGATAATCAACTCCAAGAATTAACGTGGTTCGGCTATATGTGCCTACGTACACGGGGCATCAACAACAATCTTTCACTATATCAATAATGAGTACAACGAATAATCTTGTCAAACCTCTAGGATTAAGACTTGACAAAAAACCTGGGAGAACAAGAACAAGAATGCACTCTTATCTCTTTTCTTTTCTCTCCCACACACTTTGCCCTCACAATACACTCTCACTCTAACTCCTTGAGACACAACTTATTGTTTTGCTCCAATTCAAAACTAGTGCAATAGCCTCTTTATATAGACATAATAAAGGTCTTCTTCAATAAGGATTACTACTCCTAATTGGAATCTAGTTATGAATCCTTCTCCAATTGATAAATCAACTCCAATTGGGAAAACCACTCCAACTAGGAAAACAACTCCAATTGGGTAAACAATTCAATCCTCTAAGACTATAATTCCTAACAGACTTCCAACAACTCGTCATGGGCAGGAAAAAACCCAACACAAAAGACTGATAATTACAAATCAACTCAATGACTGGAAAAAAGAAATTGTGGAAACCAAAGCCAAACCTGAATGTCTGGAAGCATTTTCTGGATAGCTGGGTCATGGCCACAATACATTGTAATTGATAATAACCAAACAGTTCCAGAACACCGATCTTCCTTTCTTGTACTGTATAGAAGATCGTCAAAGAGCTTTTTAGTTATTGCATCTCTAACTTTGGCATTACGTTCTTCTTCAGCTCCATTCTTTTCAATTGAGATATATTTTGACAGAGATGAGGTTACATCTCCCATAAGAAAGTTCGAAGCCATCGAAAGCGAATAATTAGCTTTGAGAATTAAATCTGCAGTCACTGGAACACCACCCCATAAAAATGATAGAGCCTCGCCAGCAGCAAAGAGGATGTCCTCGACCTGTATAATAAATCCAGAGTGCACGAATTAGAGATTTTTCTCATACCCTTCATTAATTTTCATCCAAAGAATATTTGAAAGTCTACTATGGGATTGGAGCGTAGAATTTGGGGAGTTTGGTGCTAGCAGTTATATGTAGGTTGTGGTTGGAAAGAAACCAAAGACTATTGGAAGATTCCTATGAGGTTCAAGTACAGAATTCAGAGAGTATGTTGGAGGGGAGCTATGTGTTAATTTCAGCTAGGATATTCTGTATTTTCTTCCTTTTTTTTATTTTAATTTTTTTCTTTTTATAAGTTAAGCAGGTATGTTGTAAAGTTTTTATCTTTTTAATGAAATCGGGTGATTCTTCTAAAAAACAAAACATTTTTGGGAGTGACATTTTAGTCCATTACAAGACTTTCTTCAGAGTTTGACAGGCATACATTTGTGCAAAGAATCTGTGTAACATGCCCAATTCTGGTCACTTCAAAGAAAATACTTATAACTATGTAAACGTACAGCTTACAGAGGTATAATTTTGGAGGCTGCTTGCTTACTCTCTCTAGCTTTGACTTATGAGTGACCCATCCCCACACCGTTACCCATATTATAAAAATTAAGAGATATTCTTTAACCATAACGTGTCATTGGGTGGGTTGAACTTGGCCTTAATTTGGCTAATTTAGGGTTAGGAATATAGGAATTATCCCTTCACTCCAATTATGGATTGAGACCAAAATGCCTTGACATAAACCAGACTATTGCTTTAGTCTGCAACATTAAAACAGGAAAGAAAATTGCTGATGAATATGGTTTTTCTAGTCTTTAAAAGCACTGCTGTAAATAATGAAAGGAAATTATTTTATGAGAGAATAGTTTCGTACAAACCTTGGATCGGGAAAGACTGAAAATTAAATCGAGGGCAATATTTAGACGTGAAGATGAAGTTTCCTTTACACACATATGGCCAATGGATATAACAACTTTTTGAATTGCTTTATTGTCATCGCCACCGAGTAGTTTTCTCAACTTCTCATTTAAAACAACCAGAATATCAACTGCAGTTTAATCATTCGGTTAGTAAGCATCTCAACACAAGGAGAAGAGAAAAGATAGTAAATGAAAGAGCAAAACCCATCAAATTACCTGAACTAGAATCAATAACAAGCGAAGGCAATGGGATAATCAGCCCAATGTGACCTAAGGCTTGGGTTGCTATTGAGGCCAGTGGTGCAGTCTCAGAATTAGTAACATCAACAAGGCACTTTAATGTAGTTTGAAACAGTGCATCTGGAATCTGCACAGTATGAATGTTGAACACAATGCCATGAATCAATTGCAAAAAAGAAAATGAATATTACACCATAATCAAAATAAGACATCAGTAAATTGGAAATTTATATACAATATTCAAATGGAAAGACAATATCAAACTGAAATCAAACTTATAGACAATATTCAAATGGAAAGACAAACTCCAGTGACCAATAACTTTCAATTGCCAGCAAGGTCAATAAGATAAAGAATACCCAAAGCTAACTTGGCAAGTGGTCGGCAACATCTGAGACAATTTTTTTGTTTGTTTATGTTATAGGAAACAAAGAATTTCACTTTGTATTTGGAAAGGAATAAATTTAATTGCATAAAACAATAAAATTACAAATGGAGTGGACAAGATAGCCACAACATAGAATGCACAAACATCAATGAAACATAGAAACAAAAGTTCTCCTATGCTAAAAAGATATACCCCTGAAGCTCTTTAGATATCGAGCGCCATAGGGATGTCCATAACCAAATTCTATCCCAAAACTTCTCTTTTTAGCTAATAGAAAAATCTTCAAAAATCATTTTATTTCTCTCCTGCTAGACTACCCAAAATACGAACGATACTATGCATCCCCACAAAACTTTGGCCATCTTCCCCATCCTTGGGAATTAATGCTTCTCAGACAAAAGAGAGAAATGGTCCCTGGGAATAACCCAACTTAAAACACCCTAAACAGCTCCAATCAAAGACTCAAAACCATAGGATAATGCAAAAAAAAAATGGATTACAAGATTCCAATTTTTATTTTTTATTCAATAAAAGAACGGTCGTATTAATATTAAAGAAAATAGAAAAGAGGTTGGTCAAGAGAGCAACCAGAACACATAAAACAAACAAAACTTAGAAAGCTAAAACAAAGAAAACACCCAGCACAAATAGCTGGGAAAACTCCTAAAAACCTCAAAAGATTCCAAATCTCTTGCATAGAATGCATCACTGAGGATAAAGGCAAGAATCGGGTCTCCTTTGATTCTCTGAAGGAAGATTTTCATTGAAACAAAAGGATTACAACCAGTGTCTTAAAAAACTAGTTTTAAGACTAACCTAGGCAGTTTTGGGGGCGGGCCGTGGGGCTAAGAAGAAAACGCCTCTGCCCAGCAGGAGTGGGCTATAGACTAGACTAAACGCCTAGGCTATCACCTCAAGTGCCTAAGCTATCGCCTCAGGTGCCTAGGCGTTTGAACTGTTTAAAGGTCGTACCCAGTGCACAAGGCTCCCGCTTTACGCAGGGTCTGGGAGAGGTGAATGTCGGCTAGCCTTACCCCCATTTTATGGAGAGGCTGCTCCCAAGTCTCGAACCTGAGACCTACCGCTCATGGGCGAAGGCACTTGCCATCGCACCAAGTGCGACCTCAGGCGTTTGAACTGTTTACAAAAAAAAAAAAAAAAAAAAACCAAACCCCAAACAAAGTCATTTTTTGGGCAGGGTTTTCATAAAATTCATGCTAATTTTATGTTTCTAACTTTGTTTTTATTAGTTTATTATGACTTAGTGATTAGAGAAATAATAATAATAGTCAAGTATTTGATTGTTTGCCATGCTTGCATGATTGTTTAACAAAGTATGATATATATATCATATATTAAGTATTATAATTAATTTAGGTACCATGAGGCCATTGCCTCACGCCTCGAGGCTATTGCTTAGGAGAGGCTAACATGTTTACAACACAGGGGACAGGTTGTTCTCTAAACAACTGCCCTCTACAAAAACGAAACAGAAAAAACAAAGAAAAACCAATAAACAACAAACAATATACTACAGCACATCAATCAGAAAATAGCATGAACTGACCAATCCTGACCAGAAAACTCAAACCCATGAGGTTGTGCACAAACAATCCATGAGGATAGCAGAAGATTCATGATAAATCCCAAAAGTAAATCGTTTATATAATTATGAACTCAACTCAAATGAGTGGAATCTGTTGTCAAACATAGTTTTGTTTCAAATTATAGTCTGATATGTGTACTTTGCAAATTTTCTTGTGCATTCAAACTAGGAACTATTGTGCAAAAAATCAGTATGGATGAATGGAACCCAGAATATTTATGTTCTGAGTGTGATTTTTATTAGAGAATAGGGGGTAACAGACGTTTCATATAGAAGGCAACACATTACCGGAACAATTAAAAAATATAAGTACTTACGGCTGGTGTTCGCGACATACAGTCTGCAGTTACATATCCTACTGCACATAATGCTCCATGTTGTTCTTCAAACCTGAAAAATATTTTAAGCAACCCAAGAATGAGAGTTACATTATCATAACAAAGAAAACAGCAGAACTGAAAGGCAGATTTTATAAACTCTCAATGATAAACTGCATAGTGCAATATATAAGCTACCAACCTTATCTTACGTCTTCCACTAACTGAGGCAATTAGTTCAGAGATAAGAGCAGAAGATTCAGCTGGAGCAAGAGCAGAGGAAGCAAACCCAAGTAAACGTGCTGCAGCTTCACGGGTATCCAAGTCAACATGACTGAGTAGTTGCCTTAGCCATGAAACTTTTTGGGCATAGCGCGAGGCTATCAGCTATAAGGAACTAAGATTTGTCAGATGTGCTTTACATTAAGGGAAAGAGGATAGTAGTAAATAACAAGAAAAGTTTTTCAGTCACGACCTCTGGCATACAAGATCCAATTACAATTAAAGCCTTGGAAGCCTGGGCATGCAACTCGACAGACCCTTCAAAGGCCATAGCATGTTCAAGAAGTAAGCAGAGTGCTTCTACAGAAGACTGAAAATCAGTTGACCCTTTAATAGAACTGTCTTGCTCCAATTCCGAGTCGAAGCACTTCAACAGAAATTGAATCATAACTAGATATGTTTTTGAGGGAAAATGAAGCTTCTGCTCCCTCATCTCAGATGAATCTAATAAGTTCGGTTGCTGCCTAAGAATATAATCTAACATGACTCCAAGTTTTGGGTAATGTAGCTCCTGCTTCTGACTCATGATTTGCCCATCATCTTTCACAAGTAAAAGGCCCTCAAGAGCTATCTCCCTACAGAGAAGGAACAAACAAGGTGCAACATGAAATTGTGGTAATTTTTAGAAACATAAACAAAGAGAAAATAGGGTACTAGTACAATTAACCAATGTAAGGTTTAATTGAAACCACAATAACCATATATTCAGATCCCTCAAAAATGTTTACCCTGACTTCTAAACTCAATCATTTAAAACTCTGAATTGACTAACAAAATTTACAAACATATAAATTAGTACACTATAAAAAATGCAAATGCAGTTAAATAAATATAATAGGTAAGCAAACAGGGTGTCAAGAATTTTCAAGAGTTCATAAAGGTAACACCTTCAATTGGGTCCTTGTTCATTTGTAAACAACACTTTATTAGGGAAAAAAAGATGCAGATAAGACGGTAAGATGTCCAAACAACCATAACCACAAAAGAAATACAAAACCCAAGAAACACTTGGGAAGTACAGAAGCTCGTTCGAAATTGCTTTTCTAGGAAGCACTTCTAGAAGTACTTTTACTATGGATTAGATAAAAAAATTTGAAGTGTTTAGGGTTTGAAGTCTTTCTGCCAAGCGTAGTTAGAAGCACTTTTGGTTGTCAGAAAGTACTGTTAGCTCGTCCAGAAGCAATCCCCAGCAGGTCCTTAAACTAAAAGCAGTCCTTAAAATGCTTAAACAAAGAAGGCCAATAATAATTTCCTTGTTCCACTCCAAGTAGGCACCACAAGGGAGCCAACAGAACGTCTTGAAACAGTTAAACTTCAATGCTAGCGCCAAATATTAAAAATAAACAAAAAAAACAATAAGTAGCTTCTAGGGCACACCCAGACCAACCCAAACATATCAAACAAACGAGACAAGATCTGACTTGTCTTCAGTAGGATATGATCGAAAATTCCTCAATTTGTTTTTAGGGAACCATTTCAACTTTGGTGGAAGTGTTGAGACTGGAAAGAAATTGATTGATTTTTAAGACTTGCATGCAACAGAAGAGAAAGTCTGTCTATGGTCTTTATTATGGGCCTCAGTTTCAATACACTACAAATTTCTCTGTTCAAATATTTGGCTCCTTTGGAAATCCGCTATTTGTTAGGTTTCGTTGTGTTAAATTTTAATTTTAGTTTTTGAAGTTTAGGGGAACTTTTGTTTTCCATCTTGTGGCCATCTTTTCCCATCCTGTAATTTTATTGTTATATTCTACAAAATTCAGTTTCTTTCTCAACCAAAACAAAATGAAACCCTAACCATGAAAGTACCAAATTGAACCCTTATAAATATCGACAGCAGGTTCAAAGCAAATCAGTTAGCATCTGACCATCAAATATGAAATCAAATCGTTCAACTGGAACCTTTACTCCTAATGCACCCAGGCTAGGAATTGTTGACGAAAAGAAAGAGGGAGAGGTTGACTGACGTATAAGCATCAAGCATACAAATAAAGAAAGGAACTTATATTACCTTATATCCAATTTAGTATCAGCTGCCCCAAGCATACAAATAAATCGGCTAGGGCAATGTTGCAAATCAAATAAAGAAGTCGCCCATCTTATCACACAGAATCGTACTTCACTTTGTTCCTGGTAAGCAGTGACCACCACTTAATCAGGCCTCCATTATGAAAAGTAATTTATGAAACATAAAATGAAGCACTATATTCAAATACCAGGTGAACAGAAGGGAAAGAAATATAAGAAAGTTATTTACACCAATATACTAAAAATTCAAAAGTTATGACACCTCTTGAGCATTTTTTAGCAAAAGCATCTCCAGATCCTTTAGCACTGTTGATGGGGCACCCTGAAAGAAGATAATAATCGGTATAAATATTTTGAATACACAAAACTGGTAATTAGAAAATTGGAACCGTGAGAGATACTGACATAAAACTGGGAAATGAATAGATCTAGAAAAGCTTAACGTATTATATCTATATTAGAGGCAAAACAATTCAGAAGAAAAACACAAATAGAAGAGAATTATCACTCAAATCTTTGCAATATTTGAGCGACATTGATGCAAATGCAACCAAAATTAATCTAGAATATTTCCAAAATCTCAGTTCTACGGCCCTTTTCTATTGTTTTGGACCAACATCGGCATTTCTATTAAGGTTGGCAGCTAAATTGGTTGTTGACTTGAACACTGAAGCAAAAATGTGTTTGAACTTTGAACCAACACCAGGCCTTAACATTTCTGTTTGAACCAACACTAACCATGAACCATGACAAAATGAGAACATCTTTAAATTAACTAGGAAGAGGGCTGGAAATGCAAACATTACCAGAATGCACTCAAAAGTAGAATCATGCACTCCTATCTCCTTTATTACTAAGAAGGAGTACAAGATGATTTTTTGGAGTGAAATAACAACTTTCAGATATATAAATTAATGAAGTTATTTATTGTGCTCTAACATGACGACTTGCATAAATTGATTGTTCAAAATCCTTGAGGCCAAATAAAATCTTTACAAATAAAAAGTAGGTAAATGTTTATAATCAAAGATACAACCAAATACAGAACATTGGCATTGGCTCCGGGTCTGCTGTCCACAAAATGGCGTCTCCTCCTCCATTTTTTTTACATGTGTCATACCACTTAACTCCAACTTAACTCTGTTAACTTTTAATAAATTGAAAAAATAAATAATAAAAAGTGAGAAAAAAAAACTAGCAGAAACAAAACTCCCCAGTCCCCACCCACCCCCCACCCACTCAGCCCTAAAAGCCAGCCACCCCTTCCTTACCCGTCACTGGCCGACAGCCAAAGCCTCCTCTCTCACTTGGCTTAAGATGCAGATCTATGAAAGATCATTGCATTTTTTAATCAAAGTGGCCCAATGGCCCCAACCCTACTTGTTCAATGATAAAAATCATTGCTTCACGATGTTGTACTGTAATTGACAATGGATGATACATATGGCTTTCAATTTGACTATTTAGGAGCAGTGGGGGATGGGGTTATCTTGACGAGTTCTCGGTTGATTTGAAAATTTGGGAAAGTTGATTGAATAGTCTCCATGGATGAGATTATTCAGAGAGTCGAGGGAAGAATTTAGCGGTGGCAACTAGAATCAGGGCTTGCAGCCGATGATTGTCAGGCTTGGTGGGTGGGACTTAAGTGGCAACTGGTTTCATGGTTTTTGTTTTTTTTTTTTTTTTTTTTTTTGGTTTTTAGTATTTTAATTTGTAAATCATTAAAAGTTAACAGAGTTAAGTTGGGACTAAGTGGTGACATATCAAAAAATGAAGGAGACATGGAGGGGAGACCGTTTTGGGGGACAGCAGACCCACAGCCTGTGGCATTACCTTGTAAGCAGTGGCAAGGGAATTGGTTGCTTCTTGTATACTGAGGCGAAAATGCTGGGCCTCCACCTTCAATGCATCAAAAAGACGCACAGCCATGTCAATCTTATCTCTGCAAGGAGGGAAAATACAACCAAACATTTTTCCCCTATAAGTTTTGATATGAAGCATGCAAGAGATGTCGGAAGAACCATATGCACAAAGTTAAGGAATAAAGAAAATGGAAACAGAAGAAACAAATAGGATGGTTTTTTATTTTCTTGATAAGAACAAATAGGAAGGTACTCAACCTGAAAAGTTGAGGCATGCGCTGTGCAAGCAACCCAATTGCTTGATAAGCAAAAGTTTTGGAGTCCCTAACAGTAGCATCTGGGTAAATTCAGTGTACTATATCAATCAGACTGAAACTCTGACCTTTCCATCTAATTGTAAAATGTACAAATGAACATAAGTTAAAAGGCATCCATTGCATAGAGAGCAAACCTGATTCTGAACTTGAAACAGTGTCAAGTGACTTCAGAATTCCACTCAGAATAACAGGGCCCATGAGTTTGAGTTGATCAATCTTTGACTGCACGCATAGAGGTTTTAAAACTAGAAGTTAGAAAAATATAAAATAACAGTACAAGCCATGAAATAAGTTAAGTATGAATACTATTTCCCTAAAGAAACAATGTAAAAATAAATTGAGGCCAATTTCTATTCACTGATTTGTAATCAAAATATAAAAAAATGCTGATCAGTCTCAAAAACATTACAAGCCATGAAATAAGTTTAGTAGGAATACGGCTTAAGACTGAATCAAGACGACCCAACCCTCTATAGCAAGATAGGCTTTCCTACACCCAGCCGTTTCCTAACATTTCCCACTACAGGGATCCCAAAAACTCAAACAGCACAGCTTACCTTCCAAAGCAAACCCCAAATAAAAGGAACACCACTCACATATTTCGGATCAAACACCCATAGGAAAGGAATCATAATCCTACAATGATTGATAGCCATCGAAACACAATTGCAGATGATTATCCAAAGAACTGTTACAAGGGTTGTGGTTCATTCCGGTATGCGGTACAAAATCAGGTAGGGAATTAAGTAGTCACTGTGGTACGGGTATGGAGGTGACAGGCATAGTCCATACGATATTTCGGTCAAAATTCGTCTGAGAATGTAACTTGGTTCATTTATTTTGGAAAATGGTGAGTTCCACACAAAGGCTAAGTTGAGGGAATAGGGTAGCAGATGGCCTACGAATAGGATCACTCGACCCCAGATCGAAAACTGACAGGTTTGAGCGTAATGGGTAACATTGATCCAAAGAACAATAAAACTAGCCTTATCCCCCAAACTGAATAAATGGTGTCATCTACCCCCAGGTATACCGTGAGTGACAACAAAAAAAGTTAGTTGACTCAACACCTGCTAAATAACTCTTCCCACATCTCCCAAAACCTTTTCTAGCCAGAACAAAGTCCATGAAATAATAACCATTATCCTCATCCTTCCAGGTCACTCTCCATAATGTCCAAGGTTCCCTCAATAACCATTATCCTACTTTCAGTTGTCTCTCGCTATAGCTTATCTTTGATGACTGCTAGTCCACGAATCTAATTTCCTTTCTTCTTTTTTTGTTTTTTTTTTTTTTGGGGGGGGGGGGGGGGAGAGGTTTTATAGCTTAAACCAATAAAGTTACAAAAGCAGACAAGATATCCAAATAGAAAAGCATGAACATGATCAACAAAATTATCACCCTAAACTATAAACCAATGTTTTAAAAGCAAGAAATGAAGTTTTATAGCTTACACCAATAAAAATACAAAAGTGGACAAGATATCCACATAGAAAATCATGAACATGATCAACAAAATGATCACCCTAAATTATAAACCAATGTTTTAAAAGGTGAAGGCGTGGATGAGGCGTTTCATATATAGTGCCGCTTAGGGAAAAGCCTTGAGGCATAAGGCCGTTAAAATTTTTAATATAAAATATAATTTATAAATGATATAATACTTTGTAAAACAGATATTTATTGTCATTCAAGTCACAAATAAGTTTAACCAAGCAATCAAATTAATCAACAATCAAACAAATAGAGGGGAATCCAGACATCTAGCCTTATGCAAGTGCATCTTTATATGTACATATGATTTATGGAATGCAAGTTCAGTGCAAACGAAGGCTCAAATGAGTTAGGGGTGAGGATTGGAGATCAAGAAGTGCCAAAGAGTGACCGATTTCGCTACCTGGGATCTATCTTGCAAAAGAATGGAGAGTTGGATGAAGACCTCAACCATAGAATACAAGCTGGATGGATGAAGTGGAAGAGTGCATCCGGCGTGTTATGTGACCGTCGTATGCCACTGAAGCTCAAGGGAAAATTTTATAGGACGGCAATAAGGCCGGCAATGCTTTATGGCACGGAATGTTGGGCGGTGAAGCATCAACACGTACATAAAATGGGTGTGGCAGAGATGAGAATGCTTCGTTGGATGTGGGCACATGAGAAAGGATAAGATTAGGAATGAGGATATCCAAGGTAAAGTAGGAGTAGCCAAAATTGAAAGAAAGATGAGAGAAAATCGGTTACAATGGTTTGGACATGTGAAACGAAGGCCTACTGAAGCTCTAGTTAGAAGATGCGATTACGGGACAAAGGTTCAGGGCCGAAAGGGTAGAGGAAGACCTAGGAAGACTTTGAAAGAGACTCCAAGAAAAGACTAGTACTTGGATCTAACAGAAGAAGTAAAACAGAACCGAGCTCAATGGCGTTGTAGGATTCATATAGCTGACCCCACTTAGTGGGAATAGGCTTTTTTGTTGTTGTATTTGGATGGGATGTGTAGTCTTAAAAAAAGAAATAAGGTTAATATAATGTTTCTTTTAAGAAAATAGTATAACGTTAAAAAAAAAAAAAAAAAGACGTTTTATCTTTTTTTCTTGCTGACCTGTCATGAGAATATCCATGAAAAGATACTTCTTTATCTTACAAAAATAATAATAACAAAAACAAAAAATGCTTATCTATCTTGTACAATGTATTAAAAGCATGAGGTATGGGCGAAGCGTCCGAGGGATAGCCTGGCCTAGGCGTGAGTCGTGAGGCGAAACCACACAGGACCTAAATTTTTTAATATATACATTGAGCCTACACATTATATTAAAAAAAAAAAATTATTAATCAATAATCACCCTAAGCACACACATATATTATAAATATATATACACACATTTATATACATATATTATATTATATATATAAAATAGAGGATGAAAAACAGAATGAGTACACATATAACAATGCATGCAGACCGCACACAAATCCATTATATAAAAAAATAAAAATCAGAAAAAGAAGGCAGAGAGATGATAGTGCAAGCAATTAAAACCCTACCCAAAATTTGGGTTTGGGAGTTAACAAAAAAAACAAAGCAGCAGCCAAACAGAGACACCTGGACGCCTTCCGCCCACTCCCTCAAAACAGAGGCGGCCTTTTAAAACATTGATCTTGTATATGAGAAAAAAATATATAAAAAACAAAAAATGAACAGAAAAGAAGATGAGGGGGCAACAAAAGTGTGGTCATTTTAAACTTTGAAGAGAAAAAAATATATAGAAAAGGAAAACTCAGCCCAAAAAAAAAACTAGCGACTTCATTTTCTTCGCTGGGCAGACCACTCTGCAACTAAAAAATTTTCAGATCTGGGCCACTTAAAAAAGAAAAAAGGACGCTCAGTCGAACACCTCAGGCGTGCCCTGACAAAGCCTAGGCGAATTTTTCGCCGACTTCCGCAAAACAGAGACTATTTTTCCTCCCACCCCACCTCCAAAGCAGCCCGGGCATGCCTTGGGGTGAATTTTTTAAAACACTGCTATAAACCAATAAAATACAAAAGCATACAAGATTGTGTGATCTTCTCAAAAAGAAGAAATGAGAAAATAAAAATGAAAGACTTAGGCTTGTGATCTGCACATAAAGAGAAACGAGAATTGACAGAAAATTATGTACTGCAACCATAAAGTTAACATGCCTAACCCTTAAAGTGGGCCAACTCCTGAAAAGCACATCATATTGCAAGTTTTAATCAATGCCTTCTTCAAAAAGTCCAGAAAAAGTTTTGCAAGTGAAACAGAAATCCAAAAACAAAAAAACATCACGAGGTCCTTACATGTTTAAATACCCAGACAGTGAATTCCATTCCCAACTGCTTCAACCTCGATGTGGTATCACTTCCTATCAATTACCCAAACACAACACATCAATACAAATAATCTGTATCAGAGCATTATATTACACACTCAACACCAACATAATATAAAATGGAAATAATGTTTCTGTTGGAAAGGGGTAAAGCCAATTGGAGAGATGTTACACATAAACATTAGAGGATTATAATTCATATTAGTGTGGTGGTTCCGATGTAGAAAGAGTACACTGGTCATGCGACTTTTTTAAATATACAATCTTGCTACATCTAAATTCCTTTGCCAAGAACCATCGCTACCATAATATATGACTACATTTTCTTGAAATTTGAGCAATAGCATCCACTCCAGATATGCATAGAATAGATTTGACTCTCAAAAGAACTATTTAATTTATAACATTTAGACCATGCTCAAACACTCATTAACACCAAAAAAGTTTATAGCCGACATTTAGGCATCAAAATTTTGGTCAAGTAGTAGGAATTGATTTGTAACTAACTTTAAGAAGATGATCTGCATACCATATATGCAACCAAAAATGCACTGTAAAGTTGCAGGGAAACTGTTGGCTGTTGTAATAGATCGGCAGAAAATAGATATAAGTTTTGCTTTCAAAGCAGGATTTGCCGGAGTGATTCTAGATTCAGGAGCAACACTTTGAGATCCAGCAGTACCTGCATAAACTGGATCTTATGTACAGAAGATGGATTGAAACTAAAACAAACTTAATTCATGTCAATAAAACAAAAGAGTCCAAAACTCTTGGAAATGGACCAAACAAAAGAGTTCAAGTTCTGCAACTGGATATGCAAGCAGCACAATGCAGCTATAATCTGACCACAAATATGTCAATTCATATTTAGACCACAGCTTATAGGCTTTTTATGATATACTATGATGAAAAGTGATTCCATCTGGCACAAAGTGATTAGAAGCAAGTATGGTCTCAGTGACAATGGTTGGGATTCCAAGATAGTTCGGTTTGGAACAAGTAGAAGTCCTTGGAAGGATATTTCCCAAGGGTATAGTTCTTTTCCGGAGTGCTGCCGTTTTGTTCTTAGTAAAGGAGATCGAATTAGATTTTGGGAAGACATTTGGCTGGCGAAAGATCTTTACAAAGTCTCATTTCCTAGGTTGTTCAACTTATCCAGGTTTCATAACAAGAGTATTTCTAGTGTGGCTAGTTCTGCCGAACATTCTTTGAATTGGGAATTTGGGTTTCAAAGGAATTTGCGTGATGTGGAATTAGACGAGTTGTCATCTTTTCTGACAAGTTTGGATCAGGCTCGCATTCACCCCTCAAGGGTTGATGCAAGAAATTGGATATTTGATTCTTCAGGATTCTCTGTTAAATCTTATTGTGATTTCCTCCTCAAAAACTGTACAGAGGGTTTTTCAGGCTTGTGGCCTGGTATGGAAACCTAAAGTTCCTAATAAAGTGAAGGTTTTGGTTAGTGGCTCATGGGAAAATTAACACTTGTGACATGCTCCAAAAACAGAGACCTAGTTCATGTCTACAACCTGATCGGTGCATTTTATACAAGAAAAGTTCAGAGTCTGCTGATTATCTGTTTCTTCACTGTCCAGTGGCTTTAAATCTCTGGTTGAAGTTGTTTAGGGAGTTCGGTATGAGTTGGGTTTTCCCCAGGGATTGTTATTCTATTATGGTAGAGGAACATAAATTATCAGGAAAAGGGAAGAAAATGAAGGTCTTATGGGGATGTATAGTTTCAGCTATCTTTTGGGTCATTTGGATGGTAAGAAACAAGCTGATTTTTTAGGACAACGAAGTCAGTATATCCTTGTGGGATAACGTTCGGTTATGGTCATCTCTGTGGGCATCGATTACTACAGAATTTTGATATTTGTCTTTTTCAGAAATTTGGTGTACCTGGAATGCTGCTATTAGTTAGTTTTGTGTTGTTTTATAGTTTCTAAATGTCAGTATGATGGTGCTATTTGTCCTGTTTTGTTTGTGCCCTTGCAGACTTCTTGTCCACTCTTGTATTTTGATTGTTTCTTTGCAATAAAAAATTGTTTCTTCTTCAAAGATGAGTTCACAGTTATCTCCCCAGAAAGCTATTACACAAATACAAATACAATAGAACAATATACGAACAAGTTAAAATCTACATCTGAATTTAAAATTATTAACTCAGCCAACCAATTAAAATGAACAAAAGAATTCAGAATTTGTACCATTAAATAACAAAAAAAGTTTGTTTATCAGGTCTGAATCATCTAAGTTAGCTCCAGCAGCCTTCTTCTTTAGAAGCTCCTCCCCTCTCTTAACAACAGGCTCTTGACTAGAATTAAACAATTATTAACATATGAATCCACATATCAAATAAGAAAATCAAATAAGTTGAGACTGAAATTTTAGTTATAGTGGAGAAATCAGAATGTACCAATCTACGGAGGAAGCCACGTATAGCGGATAAACGAGCTCAGGGGCCAGCTCCATAGCGTCAATAACATTCAAGATCCCTAACTGCTTGCAGAAAATCAAAGGGAATATTGGCGTTTATTGATAAATATATATTTACTGATAGTAGTAAAAAACCATGCACACAGACACATGGATAAACATACATGCATTAATTGTGATAAACAGTTTGAGTTTAAATTACCCTATGTTTGGGAGGGAAGAGAGGTGGAGGATGAAAAACAAAGAAGGGTGATGGCAGGACAGGGATAATTCATATATTTTTGAAGTATGACGAAGGATATACGAGACAAAATAGGAGGGGTAACCTTCCCTGTCATCCCAAAAAAAAAAATTAATCCTTTTAGAAATGGTAGGAACAAAAAGGCTTTGACACTTAAGTTTTCCATCATAGTCATTTAAGGATTGCAAATAGAGGAAAATATGTGCAATGAAAGAAAAAGAATATAGGAAATAAATCAAACATGTTACCCAAATACTTTTGTCCTCCTACTTCAAGTAAGGGGAAAACACTTTATTAAATCATCCCTTCCCCCTCCAAACAAACAATAGGAAATAAGAACAAAATCTATTATATTTCCTCTCGCCACAACCCGAACCCCAGCAGAATTATACCATTAGTAAAAGGCCATCATAAAAAGTACAACATCACTACCTATAGGAAAAAACATGTACAATATATTATACACAGAAGAACTTCCAACTTGTACCAAATTTACCTTTCTTGTTAGAAGTATATCATTTTTCAATGGTTGTTTCCCTGTCACACGGTTGGTTTGAGCAACCGAAAGTCCAGGTGGGCATTCTCTGTTGTGAAGCACGAGTACTTTAGTATGTATGACTAAAGAAATTTTCTAACATTTTATACTAAAACCCACTTCCAGACCTTTGAGATGACTGTTGATACAACAATGTATGAAGGCAAAATTCAAGAAACACGTTCCTGTCCTGGGAATCACTTATCATTCTATACTTTGCAGCAACTTCATTGTTAATTCCTTTTGAGTGACATTCACCAATGACCTGTAATCAAGTCAGAATACTAAGTTCTTCTTATTCTGTGATATACTCTTTTATGATCCTCAAATGAACTGGATACCATATTTTAGTACAAAATCATAGTTCAATAAGCTCAAAGCATATCCATTTTTACTATACAAAATGTACACCTTCTTTCTGGCCATACCCACTCTAATAAGACTGCCGTTTACCTTAGTAGCGAGTCTGAGTATAATTTCTTGGTGCTGAAGAGGAAGCCTGGAAACACCCGACAGAAGTATGGCTGCCAAATCTTCCTTTTGCTGTAAAAGAAGATACAATGTTGTACGATCATATGCTGTCATATGAAGCGAACGGAACATACAAAGATATGAGAGGAAGAAGGAACATGGACATACTTTTGTATCTGCACGGTCCATTGCCATCTCGATATACAGAATGCAGAAATTCCTGACCATTGAAGCAGTATTAGCTTCCGAATATATATTCCATAACTCCGACAAGGGTAAACCAATCTCAGGTTGGTGCTTCACTCTCTTGTTTACGTGACTCAATATCTCAAGAACCTGCCCCCAAACAACAAAATCCAATTCCAGAATAAAATTTCCATAGATTCAAAACCCAATTACCAAATTCAGCTAAACATACAAGTAAACCAATATTTGTGGCAATTATTGTTCAGAAATTGAAGACCACCATCGACAGGAAAAAGTAGCAAAGCGAATGGAGAGAGAGAGAGACAGAGACAGACAGAGAGAGAGAGAGAGACAGAGAGTTTGACTCTGACCTTGTTGCGGACGGCGGAGGATTGAGAAGAAAGTGAGGAAATGGTGAAGGGGAGAAGCTTGGAGAGTAAGGGTTGGAGGTTGGAGTCATCGCAGAGAGCTAGCCGAGTTAGCAACCGGTCCAGCATCTCTACTTTCTCTTCATCCGACTTTGTCGCAGACGCCGATGATGCTTCCGCCATTTCTTTCACAGCACGAAATGTGTAGAAGCAATTGGGAAAAACCTTGGACCTCCTCCTTCGCCTTCGGTTGTGATTTACCTTTTATATTACGGTTTAGGCCTACAACCTTTATACACCTTTTGTAAATCTAGTTGAAGCCAATTTTAAGAAAATAAAATTACTGTTTGGATTCAGAAATTCTTGAAACTGCATGATTCAATATTTCTTCCCCTGAGAATTTCACAGAAATTAGGAAATGACGGAAATTACAAGTTTCGTTTTTTTTTTGTCAACTAACTATGTTTGGACAAAGAAATTTAAAATTATTCAGGAATGTTAAAATGACGGAAATTGAAATAACAAGATTTTATTTTCTAGAATTTGTAAATTTTCTTGTTTGGTTAATCTAAAAGAACAATGAAATTGAATACTGAATTTGTTATTTTTAAACTCTAAATCATAGAAATTGGGAAATGATACCTATTTACATGGAATTTGAACTTGGGAATTGGAGATCCCAAATTCCAAGTTTTTTTTCCACGCGGAAATTCTAAATTTCTATGTTTACGAATCCAAACAAGGGAATTGGAGCATGTCAATTTATAAATTCTGAATTTTACTAAAATTCCAAGTTTATTTCCGTCATCCAAACATAGTGAACTTCTATTAAACAAACAACACAAACTTACAAATCACTGGGCTAAAGACAAAATATATACAAACAAAATTAGACCAGCCAAAAAGACAGAAGAAGCCCAAACAAAAGTTGAGCCCAAGACAAGTTGGAAAAAACCAACCATGAAGCCTATGGAACTAGTTGATCTAGTCTTTGTGATTGTTGTGTCTCAAGTTGATCCAATGTTGTGATTGTTGGTAACTAATTATTATGCTTGGGTTATATTGAGAATGCAAATTAGCAGACCGCAAACCCAAATTCCTAATGGACAAGGATTATCTGCCCTCCACTTCCGGTGCCCTCCCCGTGTCCTCATGTTTTGTGTGGTCACGGTTAAGCCACGTCAACATTTTATATTGTTTTTTTTATAGATATAATAAGACAAAAATGAATAGTAATATAAAATGTTGACGTGGCTTAACCGTGACCACACGAACAGGAGAGCACGAGGAGGGCACCGGAAGTGGAAGGCAGACAATCCTTGTCCATTCATAATAGCTGAAACCCTGAAACCTACATTATTTCATTTTCATTTTTCCTCTTGAAATTCAAGCTCATTTTTCCTCTTGAAATCCTTGTCTCCAACTCTAAACCCAACGGCCTCCTTTTCCCTTTCGTTTCACTTGAAAGCTTAAGCTCTGTTCTCATTATCCGCTCTTGTCCGTTGTTCCTCGATGCCCAAGTTCGTCGTCCTCCAAAAAACCTCATCATCGTGGTAAGTTGTTTTTCCTTTTGGGTGTTTATTTTTTGTCCTGTTTATGCATGAAATTGATTTTATTTTTTACTTATTTTGCTGCAATTTTTCATTTTATTTTATTTTGGTTTTGTTTGGTTTCTTAAATTTGTTTGTATTTCCTTTTGCAATTTGTCCATTTGACTATTGATATGCATATATTTTTTTTTTTATTTAAACCTAATGAAGACAAATAAAAGAAAGAAAGCGCGTAAGAAAGATCATAAGAAAGTAGCGGTGGAGCAAAAAGAAAATGAGCGACTGGAGGACTCATCGTAAAATTAACAAAAAAAATGACCAATGGACCCGTAAGACTATTAGGGTGTGTTTGTTGCGCCTGACTATTTCGGACTAGACTAGCTGCAGGGACTATGCTGGACTGGCTTAGACTAGACTAAGCTGGACTAACTTAGTGAAGCGTTTGGTGTAATGTTGGATTAAGAAGTATGATAATAAAAATAGTACTGTTTACCAGATTTGTGTTTACTTAGAGTAGGACTACAAATTTTTGTCATTGTGTAATAGAGTAATGCTACAAATCTCATGTTATAGGTTAGTTGGAACATATTTTTGCCATGGATATTATGAATCTTACAAAAATGGGACAATTGTTTTGTGTCTATTACCTGCAAATAGAATTGAGACATACTATAGTTGGGACATACTATTTATAAATAGTTGAGTTTAATTTGCAAATGTAGCTTGGTTTAAACTCTATCACCCAAAAGAAGAAAAATAATAGTGTCCAATACATGCAACTTCAACAAATACAAGTACATAAGAAGATACTTGTGACAAGTCAATCTTTGCCATTGATTGACTCTTAAAACATCATTCACTAAACTTTCATCCAGGATATTTTACAAAATACCAGTGAACTATAGTATAGCATTCCAAAGTAGATCTCCATAATTTACAAAATCCTAGTTAACATTAACCAAAATACTTTATAGTGCAAAACTAAGTTATAAGCCATAACATAAGATTGTACGATTAATAAAATACATCCATGTCAAAATGCACCACATAATAAAATACTTTCTTGAGTTCCGATTTGATTGCCCTGAACACTCCCATATTTTGTGGTTTTTCCAAAATAAGAGACAATGCATCTATTGGATCCATAGGAGAAAGATCCATTGCTTCAAGTTCGTTAGCTATGTCACTATGATCTGCAGTACCTTGAACTAAAGCTTCAGTTACCATTTGCATCCTCTTCCCACTTTCAACATAAAAATCTTTCAGTCCACTGATAATTACCTCGGTTCCATCACTTGAACTTCCCACAACTCTTTTCCTCTTTCTTTGGCTATTTGCAGATGAGGTGCTTTGTTAGCTTTGTTGGTTCATTGACGAAACAAAATTTTCACTTCCAATATCACTTGCACCAACTTGATCATGACTTTGTTCCTGCACCATTTCAGCAGGGGTTTCGGCTACATTACCTGTAGCCCAATCTTTTCCAAATATATATGCAAATCTATCATATAGTGGAAAAGGTTTGCTTCTCCATCCATCGTCTTCTTTATTTTTCTAAGATTATATTAACATAGCAAAACTAAAATTTAGTATGCGTAACAAATATAGCAGTAAGAATATAATTACTGTATAAATAAAATAAGATATGAACCTGCACATAAGTTTGCCATGCGTTATCACTGTCAACTTCAACGCACTTTTTGACATCATTCCATGCAAATCCACTTGTATTTATCATGTTAACGATCAAACTATATGTTTTTTTTCCATTTATTCAACTTTGACTCAATATGTGGAGTTGCCTTTATATTGGAATGAGGACATAAAACATTGACAGCTTTCGCTATTTCAATCAAAGTACCTTGTTTGAAAGCACCGGTGTCACACCGTTGCTTTCGAGCAACAAAATCCTCAACAACAGATGGTAATGCTTCTTCCTCAAATGCTTCCCATTTACGCCTTCTTCCTTTTGGCTCTTGAGTAGCATTCAAAATATTGTCGTTATCCATACCTAAACAAAAAATATTTGAATGTACTAAAATACAATACAAATAATCAATTTGCAAAATATTCAATCAATTTGCATAATATCCAATTAATTTGCATATCATCCAATCAATACAAAAGTTTTAACATTCACTGATGAGCAATCTAATCATTTTACTAATATCCAACAAATGCATGATAAAATGGAATACTAAAATAAAATGTTATCATTAACACATATAGCTAGTTCGGTTGCTGGTTCCTAATTGCTCTCCACTCATTATACATTTCCTGAGCCATGGCATTCCTCTTTGCAGTCCACTGGTCAGATGTTTCAACACTACTAACATATTCACCTTCTTTTGTATTTTGTCCATCTTCTATTATGGGCAAATTCTCCATTGGATCTACAGACATCTCTTGCCTAATAAGATTGTGTAGTAGGCAACAAGCGGTAATTATTCGACCTTGTGTCCTTATCGGATAGAAAGATGGAATCCTTAGTATCGACCACCTTCCTTTAAGCAAGCTAAAACAGCATTCAATTACATTCCTTGCCTTAGAATGCTTCATGTTAAAATATTCTTCCTTATTAGAAGGTGCTCGTCACTCCCATTCAGATAAATGATAAGGTATTCCTCTATAGGGTGCAAGGAATCCTTCACCATTTGTATAACCACCATCTACAAGGTAATAATAACCTAATAAAAAAAAAAAGCAGACCTTATTAGCGTTTTGTAGTTGACAAACAAAACTAGACCTAACTTACAAAGTTGAGACTAACTAATAGTCTTACCCGCTGGTACCTTAAAACCATTAGGCCCTGTAATTGCATCATGTAGTACTCTAGAGTCTGATGCCGAACCCTCCCACCCCGGAAACACATATATGAACTGCATATCTCCTGAACACACACCTAACATATTAGTTGCGACTCGACCCTTTCTTGTTCGGTATCTTGGTTTGTCAATTTTAGGTACATGCAAATCAATGTGTGTTCTATCTAATACTCCCAAGCAATTCTAAAAAAAAAAAAAAAAAAAAAAAAAAAAAAAAAAAAAAAAAAAAAAAACTTTTGTTAATTTATACAAAGGGAATGAAGAGTTAAAGCTTAGGGAAAATGAAAAAAAAATTATCATTATACCTTAAAACATCGCCACCTAGGATCTGTAGAATTAATAGGCACATGTTGAAGGATTTTTAGTAGGATACCTTGTAATCGCAAAATTCCTTGCAATACGCTATTGAAATACCTACTTATAGTTTCTCCCGACCTATAAAATCTACCGCCAACACTACGATTCTTAGTATGATGTGCTAGTATTTGTAAAGTCATACACACCTGCTCCTCTGTAGACACTAAACCATCCGTTTTTACCTTCTCATCTTGATGAAGTAAGTCACATAATATGCCAAAAGTCCTTCTATCCATTCTCAATTCGTTGACATATTCAATATCAGTATTCCCTATTATACCATTCAGATAACACAAACTAATCTCTCGTCTAACAAGTGAACGGTTAGTTAAAGTGCGTTGTTCAACATGTCTCTATTTGGCCCTTAGCATCAACAACACAAGAATCGTACAAATGCAAATTGTCTCTAATGAGACATCTCTAACAATAAGATCAATAAAAGCTTCCTTCGATCCATATCCATCCAAACAAAAAAACAAAGGAAAAAAAAAATAAGGACATTATATATGTAATATTTACTGTTATTAAGGGTGATGGAAATGAAGTGATTATGATACGAAATGAACTAGATCAAAATAAACGGTATACAAAGAATTC